ACTAATTAAGAGCCCTTCAATTTCAAAAATAAAAAAGGTTTGTATTAATTTGTGAAACTTTTAACACCAGCCAATCCATGCGATACCAGATGTGTGAACTAATTACATCCCTTGCACAGCTAACAAAATGGTGCAGAAATGCAAATGGGAATAGCTGGGATAGCCTGTCTCCTGAGGGAATTAGCAAATACAGTTGGAAAGTCTTTCAAATTCAATACAGCTCCTATTTCTATGGTTTCTAGAAGTTACAAAGAACATTAATGAATAAGATAAAGAATCTCAGACTCCCCAAAGTGCAAAAAAGTTTAAGAAATTATGCCAAAACACAAAATGCTTTAGACATGTGGCCCTTTAGGAAAACCTTTCCAGCCGACAGAAATAAAGTGTGAAATTTGCCTAAATGCACCTAGCTGAAAAGCTACATATTGTAATGACATGTACGGGTATTTTAAACAGTTTAAAGAAATCTGCCTTCTGGAAACTGAAATATCCAATAGCTTCCTTCTTGGAAAAGGAGATTTTCAAATGAGAACAGATATTTTCAAATTAATTTAGTTATTAAGACATTCATCAAAAGTATGTATCTTTCAAAACAATGTGAATATACTTAACATCTGTAACTGTAAACTTCATAATGGTTAAGATGATAAGAATAAAGGTATATATTACCCTAATTAGCATAAAATTAAAAAAATTTAAACTATGTATAAACAATTAAGTCATTAATAACACTGTGAAAAGTGTTCCTGTTTTCTAATATTAAATTACATCTCTCTCTAAAAAGCTTTTGGATCAGAAAAAGAAAAAATGCAAATGTTAGTTTAATAACATGGAGTTCCTACTGTTGAATTACAAGGGAAGAAAGAAATGTAAATAATCATTAAGCCATCAATTAGTAGTCAGATGGTGGCTTTTACAAAACACACTTCTGTGTTAAAAATTTAGGTAAAACGTAAAGGATTTCAATATTACTTACTAAAAATAAATACAGAAGAATTATATAAAAATCCATCATGCATACTTAATAAATTATAGACTTTGGCAAAATAGATAGCTATATATTTTCTCTTTGATTTTATCAGAGTGTGAAATATAATATAATATAACTCTTTATGCATAATTTTGGAATTATCATCTTATCTCAAGCTTGACTAAAGAGAATATCCTAAGTTCCTTCTACTTGTCAGGTAGGTTATCAGTGCTAGCACCATGTATTTAAGATTAGAAATGTAAACCTATGTATTTATTTAATGACAGCTGTAAAAACTGATGTCTTTATATAAAACACTGCTAATTAGGTGAGCCTATAGCATCGCTTCACCTTTACTGTGTGGGTTTTAAAGAGTTTTATTTCTAATAATAACAGTGATTATATTTTCTTTAATGTCAAATTAAAATACATTTTCTAAGATGCCTAACTGACTTGAGACCATTAGCTAATTATCAGCTGAAGTAATTAGGGAATAGTCTTTATGTATCTGGAAATTTTCCAAGGAAAATATTTTAAATTATAAACAAAGAGAAAGAAAGTACATGCTCATGGTTTTGACTTATGTCTTTTTGCCCATAGAAGTATATATATTTTTTATAACACTCAAGTGAAGATAGTACAAATAGATTTAATATGCTTGATAAGATTAGTTCTGTTTGTAAAATTCAAATATCAAAGAATTGAGTAGTGTTGTCATTTTAACATTGCTTGGTGTGACACATGCCTACATGCACAGGTTTAAATGCGCTTAAATGCATCTCTTCCCCTTAGCAGAGTCTGGGATGAAGACTTGCATTAAGCACTTTTTTTGGGATGTGGTCCTAGGGAGCAGGTGTGAGGGGTAGGAGGAGTGACTCAGAGGAAGGTAGAAAGCCGGCCCATGGAAGGAGGTCATCGAGGCAGCCACAGCCAGTGCAGTTGCTGCTCAAACTTTCATGACCTTTGGAAGAGATTCCTGAAATGCATTGCAGATGGCAGGGGAGGCATTTTCCAATCCACATCACCCCAGTAGCTCAGGGGTAACCACAGTGGCCATCCTGGGCAAGGCATCAAGCAGTCCAAGGGTGCAGGATGTGGGGATAGCCCATCGGAGCCTGCTGGGAGGGGTGGCCACTGAAGAGGCTCAGGCCTTGCACTGGCATTAGCTAGCAGTGTATGGTGGTGCCACCAGGACCCTGACACAGGTGTGTGGTATGAATGAAGGGAAAGTACTGGGCACAGCCATGCCCACTGTGTCTGGGCCAGCATCTTACATGATTCTCCTCCGTGAGGCACAATTAGTAATTTTTTAGGGCAATTTTGGGCTTATAGAAGAATTGATTGGAAAGTATAGAATTCCCACATATCTCTCCCTGCCCAGGCTCCCTCACATTTCCCTATTATTTACATCTTGTATTAGTGTGGTATGTTTGTTAAAACTGACAACCCAATCCTGATACGATCTAGTGTTCTATACAAATGATGACACTTAACAATAATATATTGTTTCAAATAGCTGGAAGGAAAATATTGCACATTCCCAATGCAAAGAAGTGATGAAATGTTTCAGATGATGGATGCACTAATTACCCTGATCTGATCTCTACAGATTATATTTATGGGAACATCACTACATACTCCATACATTATTTGTCATATTTGTATAATTATTATTTATCAATTGAAAAGATAGAATTAAATTGCATTTCAAAAAGATTTTCACCAACACAAGAAAAAAATTTACAAATTTAAAATTTACAAATTTAAAATTTAAAAAGTTACCGTTGAATAAAATAAAAATACCAAAAGAAATACAACATTATTGTTAACTAAAGGCTATAGTTTATGTTAGGCTTCTCTCTTTGAGTTGTACATTTCGTGGGTTTTGACAAATATGTCATGACATGTGTCCATTATTATTGTAACATAGGAAATAGTTTCACTGCCCTAAAAGTTCCCTTCTTCTAGTTTTTAGTTTACTTTCTGCTGCTGTTTCCAAGATCTAGCCCCAAACTCACAACCTGACAGAGTTTTTGAATCTCCACCGTCTTTGATTTTGCTAAAACAGCCCCTTGGTGGTGCCTAGACCAATGCACCTGCCCATTGCTGGGGAGACATGCACATGCTAGAAAGATAAGAATCAGGTTGGGCGCAGTGGCTCATGCCTATAATTCCAGTACTTTGGGAGGCCAAGGTGGGCGGATCACATGAGGCCAAGAGTTTGAGACCAGCCTGGCCAACATGGCAACACCCAGTCTCTACTAAAAATACAATAATTAGCAGGGCATGGTGGTGCACATCTGCAATCCCAGCACATTGGGAGTCCAAGGAGGGCAAATCGCATGAGGCCAAGAGTTCAAGACCAGCCTGGTCAACATGGCGACACCCTGTCTCTACCAAAAATACAAAAATTAGCTGGGTGTGGTGGTATGTGTCTGTAATCCCAGCGATTCAGGAGGCTGAGGCACAAGAAATGTTTGAACCAGGAGGCAGAGCTTGCAGTGAGCTGAGATGGCACCACTGCACTCCAGCCTGGGTGACACAGTGAGACTCTGTCTCAAAAAAAAAAAAAGGCAAGAATCAGCACCTGGGTACAGAAACACTGGAGAGAAATTTTATTACATCTTTATTTATATAACTAACTGTGTCACCTGCAAGCAGCATAACCCTAGAACATTTGTAAAGGTGTGGCAAAGGCATCAATGAGCATGCTGGGTCCAGATGAATTGGATTTCAGACACTTAAGGAATATGTCCTCCTGTGTTTCCAGAGTGGTGAGGCCCTCTTCTGTTGCAAAGTGAAGGGGTGGCCTGCCCCTCCACACCTGTGGGCGTTTCTCGTTAGGTGGAACGAGAGAATTGAGAAAAGAAATGAGACACGGAGACAAAGTATAGAGAAAGAAAAAGTGGGCCCAGGGGACCGGCGCTCAGCTTACAGAGGACCCACGCCGGCACCGGTCTCTGAGTTCCCTTAGTATTTATTGATAATTATCTTTACCATCTTAAAGATAAGGGAGTGGCAGGACAATAGGATCATTTTAGGGAGAAAATTAGCAGTAAGACATATGGACAAAGATCTCTGTGACATGAATAAGTTCAAAGTAAAATGCTGTGCCTTGATATGCATATGTAAACATCTCCACAAACCTCTTAGCAGCATTGCGCCAGCAAGTCCCGCCAGCGAGTCCCACCTTATGCCGTAAGGTGGTTTTCTCCTATCTCAGTAAACAGAGCATACAATCGGGTTTTACACCGAGATGTTCCATTGCCCAGGGATGGGCAGGATTTTTAACTAGCAAGCTGCCTTCAGGCACTTGTTTAACAAAGACACATCCTGCACAGTGCAAAATCCATTAAACCTTGAGTCACCACAGCACATGTCTCTTGCAAGGACAAGATTGGGGGTAGGGTCACAGATTAACAGCATCTCAAATACAGAACAAAATGGAGTCTCTTATGTCTACTTCTTTCTATATAGACACAGTAACAGGCTGATCTCTCTTTCTTTTCCCCACAGCAAAGTACCTCTTTATCTTCCTGCAAAGAAAGTCATACAGCTTGTCATTGGTTCCCACCTAAAGAATACCTTCAACCCATGCCAAGCTCTTGTGGCTATCAGGTGGGCTACTGAGTCACTTAAAAATGTTACTATCCATATCTATGTCTGCATTTCCCAAACCTGGAAAATGTAAAACAGAGGGACAGAACTGTCAAAAACCAAACTGGCTAATCTAGTGGGTGGAATTGGAATGTCTTGGTCCTCTCATTCATCTTTTATACTCATCAAAATTCATTCCCCTGCACAAGAAAAACACTGAATCCTTATGAAACAGCTCCTGGCAGGCCTGTGCATCTCAACGCCATATTCCCATGAAAGGACTCCTCTTGGGGTGACCATACGTCCTAGTTTTCTCAGGGCAGTCCTGTTTTTCTTTTCTTTTCTTTTCTTTTTTAAGGCTTGTTTTATTTTAATGGCTGATCTATGTAATCACGGTGGTTAGGATGTACAGACAAAGGGGAAGCCTTTTTACCTTGGTCTCTTCCTCCTTGGACAAAGTCTTGATGATCTCCTTCTTCTTGGCCTGGAGGCGCTCTTCACCGAGCTTGCATGCTTCCTTGGTCTTAAAGCTGCGGGCCTCAGCCTGGTCAGCCAGGAGCTTCTTGTGGGCCTTGCCTGCCTTCAGCTTGTGATTGTGTTCCGTGAGAATCTGCTTGTTTGTGAACACATTCCCCTGCACCTTCAGGTACAGGCTGTAATACATGTGGTGAGCAATCTTCTTCGATTCACAATATCTTCCAAGCAACTGGTGCAGAATCCTCATTCTCCTCATCCAAGTGATCTTCTCTGGCATTTGGGCATTGGCTGTACCCTTGAGCTAACCTGTGCCCGTGTGCCTGCCCTTCTGGCGGGCTAAGGTGCTTTTCTGGCATCCAGCCCGAGAATGGACAGTCACAGGCTCGTGGATGATCAGCCCAACTTTGATCAGCTTCCGGATCTGCTGATGGGAGTTGGCGTTGATGATTTCGCTGGTCTCACTGGGGTCAAGCCAGACCTTCTTGCTACCGTGGAGGGCACTCGTGGTGAGCCTCTTCTGAAGCCTGAATATCCTCATGGCTTTGGCCACAGCAGTGACAAAGGTCAGTGCTGGTTTACGTTTGTAGTCCCAGTGTACCTGTTCATACTCACCCTCTCCTGCTTCCCTCACTCTCTAAAGTATTCCAATTGGCTGATAAATTATGTGGTCACTCTAAGTTGTCACATTCTGATATTTCTACTTTTGTAAAAAAAAATCCAGACTGCATTGTCCAGTGTTTTCATCAGCAAGTCATCACTTGCTTGTACCTGACTCCACTGAAGGCTGGAGCCATGAAGGACAAACCCATGATGAGGAAAACCGGCATGTAAATCCCAGTGGAAGGACTCTTGTTTTGTGTCCTCTTCATCAGCCACTGCAGCGATTCCACTGTAGAATCTGAGGGGCCCCAATTTATACAAAATAATTTGTATTTGGGGATCCAAATTAATTTTGTATCCCAAAAGGAACACCTTTGAAGGGTACCACCTACAGGGTTTTTTGTTTGTTTGCTTTTTCTTTTTGTTTTTTGTTTGGAGTCAGGTTTTCTCTCTGTCACCCAGGCTGGAGTGCAACAGTGAGACCATACTCACTACCACCTCCAATTCCTAGGCTCATGTGATCCTCCAGCCTCAGCTTCCTGAGTAGCTCAAACTACAGGCATCCACAGCTATGCCCAGTTAGTTTTTAATTTTTTTGTGGGAATGGAGTCTTGCTATGGTGCTCAGGCTGGTCTCAAACTCCTGGCCTCAAGTGATCCTCCTGCCTTGGCCTCCCAAGTTGCTGGGACTACAGGCATGAGCCCCCACTCCCAGCTTTTAGGTTCTTTAAAAACAACGTTTTTCAAGATGATTTCAGTCACGATTCAAGCATATGATTTACCAAGATCATCCAGAACAGAACTGTTTTAGGTTATAATCAATCTAGCAGAAGAGATACACGAGTTGTTATTCATTTAGGGCTGTTTCTATTCTAAATATTCTATCTGTTTCTACTATCATGATACTCCATCATTTATATTCATTCCTACTTCTGATCATATATGTGTTGCCTCAAATTGGGATGCCCATCTATAGATAAGCATTTATAAAAAGTGGGCATTAAGTTTCCATGCTACATTTTGTACATGATATTGGGACCCTGATAAAGTACATTTCACTGGCAATTCCAGCAAAGACTATGGATGTATATTTTTAAGGGATGACTCTTCAAGTTTTCTACAGGACACAGTACAAGCCTTTGTGTATAACTACAAAATCAAACAGTTATATTTTACCTTTTACGACATTGGCCTTGACAGCCATACAGCTAGAGACTATTAAGGTTAAGAATTCTGCATGTGTCCTGCAGCTAATAAAAGGCAGAACCAGAATTTGATTCAGTTCTGTCTGGCTCCCAAATCTACCATCTATGGGCTAAACATTCCTTCTATTAGTTTTTATAGAATATGATTTTTAATTTTTAATTGACAAATAAAAGTTGTACATATTCGTGGGGTACATAGTGATGCTTCTATACATGTAATGTGTAGTGATCAGGTCAGGGTAATTAGCATATCCGTCATCTCAAACATTTATCATTTATTTGTATTGGGAATGTTCAATATCCTCCTTTGAGCTATTTGAAACTATGTATTGTTGAGGATGTAATTTGGAATGCCTTTGCCATCCTGGTCCCTATGGTCAAGAGGTACTTGAATAACCTCTGACTGCTTCAGTGCAAAGTGCAGGACTGACAGGGCTGCCCCATGGGGTGTCTCAGGCAGAGCACACCAGCCCCCTGTCCAGCCACCCCATGCAGCCTGAGATCACGGGGTGTTTCTGCAGGCCCATCGATCCCCCTGTGAGCTTCCCACCATTTTGTAGCTTCCAAGTGTTTGCTAGTTGTGCAGCTGCTGTGAAGCAGTTTCTTCCTCGTCCTGTACTCACTTGGGCTTTTGCCCCAAGGGCAGCCTTAGCACCCCTGCTAAGCTTCATCTTAGTCATTTAGCCCAGCATACTGACTCTCGAGATCTTGTGGGAGCTTCATTCCATCATCAGTCACCCTCAATTCTACCACCTCTGTCAATTTCACCAACACAGATGTTGTATGGCGTTATCCATTCATTCATTGTTGGACTCCTCTTTCCTGGACTCTGCTATGGGCCATCACTATTCTAGGCCCAGGGGGACACAGCAGTGAGCAAGGCAAAGGCCCTGCCTGCATGGAGTGCACATTTCACTGCAGGAGACAAGTAATGAATGGATAAACGAGTGGTTAAGATAATCCCAGGCACTGATGAAACTCATGGAGAAAAGTAAGGTGTGCTATGGGGTTGGAGGGATGTGCTATTTTAATAGGGTGGCCAAAGGCAGTGAGGATTGAGCAGAGTCCTTAGTTAAATGTGGGAATGAGCCGTGCAATGCCCAGGGAGAAGAGCCTGTGAAGGGAACACAGAGTGACTGCAAGGGGCCCGGGGCAGAAACATGCTGGGCTCGTAAGAGAGGAGGGGCCCTGTGGCTGGAGTGTGAGGCCCGCTCCACTGAAGAAGGAATTTGGATTGTATTCTGAGTGAGGGCTGAGAGCAGATATGTCACATAATCTGACTGATTTTTGGGGGGTATGTGGCAAACACACACATAACATAAAATTTGCCATTTTAACCATTTTTTCAGTGTATGTGGCATTAAGGACAACCACACCGGTGTGCAGCCGCCACTGCCATCATCTCCAGAACTCTTTCATCTTCCCAAACTGAAACTCTGTTTTCATTAAACACCAACTCCCACTCACCTCTCCCCAGTCCCTGGCAACCCCTCTTCTACTTTCTGTCTCTATGGATTTGACTACTCTGGTGCTGAATATTAGTGGAATTATACAGTGTTATCCTTTGGTGTGTGGCTTATTCCACTTAACATAATGTCCTTGAGATGTACCCATGTTGTAGCTTTTATCAGGATTTCCTTCCTTTTTAAGGCTGAATAATACTCCATTGTATGGAGGGACCACACTTGGTACATGCATTCATCCATTGATGGACACCTGGGTTGCTTCCACCTTTTGGCTATTACGGAAAATGCTGCTGTGAACACGAGTATGCAAATGTCTCTTTGAGACTCTGCTTTCAGTTCTTTGGGGTATCTCCCCAGTAATGGAATTGCTGGATAATATGGTAATTCTATGTTTAATTTTTTGAGGAACCACCATACTGCTTTTTGCAGCGGCTGAACCATTCTGCCTTCCCACTAACAGTGCATAAGGGTTCCAATTTCTCCACATGCTCAACAACACACAGTATTTCCATTTTTTTGGGTAGTAGGCATCATAATGATATGTGAAGATGTGAGGTGATATCTGATTTTGATGTGCATTTCCATAGTGATTAGTTATATTAAGCATTTTTTTAATATGCTTATTGGTCATTTGAATGTCTTCTTAGGAGAAATGTCTATTTAAGTCCTTTGTCCATTTTTTAAACGGAATTGTTGGTTTTGTGTTTTTGAGTTGTAAGTGTTCTTTATATACACTAAATAATAACCCCTTATCAGATATATGATTTGTAAATATGTTCTCCCATCCCATGAGTTGACTTGTTGAGTTTGCTGTGTTGATTGTGTACTTTGATGCAGAAAAGTTTTACATTTTGATGTAGTAAAATTTACTCATTTGGTCTTGTGTTGCTTGACTTTCAGTGTGATCATCCAGAAGTCATTGCCAAGGAATATCATAAAGACATTATTTTGCTGTATGTTTTCTTATAAAAGTTTTATCATTTTAGTTTTTATATTTTGTCTTTGATCTATTTTGAATTAATTTTTGTGTGTGGTATGAGATAAGAGTTCAACTTCATTCTTTTCCATATGGATATCCAGTTTTCCCAGCACCATTTCTTGAAAAGACCATCCTTTCCCCACTGAATGGTCTTGGCACCCTTGTGAAATAGTATTTGACCATCCACACAAATGTTCATTTCTGGGCTCTCTATTTTATTCCGTTAGTCTGTATGTCTGTCTTTATGCCAGCACCCCATTGTTTTGATTGCTGTGGCTTTGTAGTAAGCTTTGAAATGAGGAAATGTGAGACCTCCAACTTTGTTCCTCTTTTTTGAGATTATTTTGGCTATTTAGGGTTCATTGAGATTCTATATGAATTTTAGAATAGATTTTTTTATTTCTGACAAAAACAATGCTGGAATTTCGAGAGAGATTGCATTAAGTCTGTAGATTGCTGTGGGTAGTATGACAGCTTAGCAATATTACGTCTTCCAATTCATGAACATGGGATGTTTTTCCATTTTTGTGTGTGTGTCTTTTTATGTCTTTCAGCAATATTTTGTAGTTTTTAGTGTACAAGCCTTTTGCCTCCTAAGTTTTATTCCTGAATATTATTTTCTTTCTGATACTATTACAAATAGGATTGCTGTCTTAATTTCCTTTTTGGATTGTTCATTGTTGGTGTATAGAAATGCACTGATTTTTGTGTGATGATTTTGTATCCTGCAATTTGCTAAATTCATTTACTAGTTCTAACAGGTTTTTTTTGTTGTTGTGGGTGAATCTTTAGGGTTTTCTACCTATAAGATCATGTCACCTTCACATGTAAACAGGGATAAACTTACTTCCTTTTTTTAATTTGCCTTTTTTTTTTTTTTTCCTAATTGCTATGGCTACAATTTCCAGTACTGTGTTGAATAGAAGTGGCAAGAGTGGGCATCCTTGTCTCATTCCTGATCTTAGAGGATCTGGTTGACAGTTTAGAGGCTGTTTCTGGCTGCCTGTGGAGAACAGTCTGGGAGGTAGCAGCGTTGAGGGGCCTGTACAGGTGAGGGAGAGTGGGGCTTGGGCTAGGGTGTTGGTGGTGGAGTGAGCAGAGGTCAGTGGTGGAGTTTATTCCGGGTAAAATAAGGTGTGCTGATGAAATAGATGTAAAGTTTTAAAGTTCTTCCTCTTCTAGGTAGGCTTGCAAGCTTACATTGGTCAACTGGGGAAAAATTCTGTTCTAACTAACTCCTCTCATAGTGAAGCTGCTCTTCCTCAGGGCTGCTCACTGAAATGGCTGAA